AGCAGCGACGCCGCGGCCCGCTAACCCACTTGCCCTACCAATTTCAATGCAACAAGATACTGAGACCCCCTCCCTCCTTCTCTCTCCGTCTCTCTCTCTCTCTCTCTCTCTCTCTCTCTTTCTCTCTCCTACGGCTAGGCCCAGAGGGGGCGGGGTAATGGCGCTAATTGTCCCTGGCGTTTAGAAGGAGAGTGCCTCTCTACCCCCTCAGCAGCGGCCGGCTCCAAATCTGATGCGAAAGCCTTATCCAAATAGAGCAATTACCAACGCTGGAGACAAAGTGGCTCCGTGGAGACAATCGGCGAGAGAAACTAATCACGAAGACGCGCGCCCGCGAGCAGAAGAGGGCGACCAGACAAAAGCGGAAGTGAGCTCCTTGTTCATGATCACCCCGCACACTAACCTACCCCTACCCGCGCCGACATTGCGCTTGTGCTCACTGCTCGCCCCTCCTCCCCACCACCTTATTTGTTTGAGGTGAGGATTCGATCCTATCGTGCCTCAGCCTCCATGCCAGAGGCGCGGACGAGACAACAAACTTATAACGGGTAAGTGACCGACACTTTTTCTCTCGAGCGAGCAGCTTTGTCGGCCCGTTTTGCGGCGCCGGGCGCCCGAGCGATTGCGTAGCGTTTATTGGCATCGCGAGTCTCTAAATACTTTGGAGCGACTTAGAAGGCGACCGCTGTGCATATTAATTCACATCGAGATCGCGACAAAGCTTCCCGGGCCGCTGCTCCAGCCGGGTTCTGCTTCATCTTCAGTTCAGAGGATCCTTTTTTGAGGGGCTGGGGGATGGGGTGGAGCTGGGCGCATTGCCTAACAACTTTTAACTTAAAAAATAAAAAGGATTCACGGGTAATTTTTCAAGAATTTTCATAAGAACTCATAATTTTTCTTTGGAAAGTTTAATTTTTATCTTATTTCTCTGCGAATATTCCTTCTTGTTTTCCATTTTTTCAAGAAAAGTTTTGAACATTTTCGGATAATGTTCGTGCTTAAAAATCTCTACCGGGGCGCGCACTGCCCTTGCTCTAGGCAGCATGCGCGGCGCGGCCGCCGCTCCACCGGCACGGCCAGCGCCTCATGCCCTCGGGGTAGGCAACCCATCCGACTCGCCTGCGATGCGGGCCGCAAGCCGGCCGGGCTGGCGTCCGCCCCGCACGGCAGACGAGGCGACAGAGACGCTCGACTACGGACTGAGACTAGCGTCTGGAGAAAAACTTTTAAAAAATGCAATCGAAATAACTTGCACGCGCCGTGCGGCCGAGTGCAACGGCTGCGTGTGCGTCGGTGTGCGCCCGTCGGTGCGTCCGGCTGGCCGTTGACGCGCCTCACCGCCAGGCTGCGTGCGGGGCGCACTCGTCCGCCCACGCCGCTGCGGACGCCGCCGCTCTTCCACACTTGCCAGCCGGTCGCTTTGCAGTTTGCACTGGCTCTCGCTAGAGCTAGCTCCCGACACCAGGCCGAGCACCCACAACGCGCCCGTCAGCCGGTCGACGCCGACGTGCCGCACACACACACACCAACGACAACGTCGTCCTCCCGCTGAGCCAGTGCACCGCGCCGTCCTCGCCAAGACCACCGTCTGCATGCGCTGCTCGGACGCGACCGGACGCCTTCCACACCAAGTGCACCACCTCCTCGTCGGCCACCCTGACCGCCTCCGACGCCGCCGCCGCCGTCGTCGACAACGCCTGACGACACCCGCCGGCCGGCGCCATGCCCATGTCGTGTGTTGACGTCTCCGTCGGAGCGCGGATCGTCGCCGTCCTGGGTCTGGTGAGCTAAATGGTGTCTGGGTGGTGGGGTAGGGGAAGGGCGGTCAACGTCCAGGGTCTCCGCATGTTTTTGATCACAAGAGCGAGTGCGTCTTCTTTGACCGCTTGCCCTCTCGCTCTCCGTGCCGAGCCCACGGGGGAGTTGGACAGAGACGGCACGAGCGCAGCGCGGCGTGCACGCGTCAGCACGCGGCTGTGTTTTGCTGATGCCGCCGCACGCCCGCCCCTCCAACGGTGCTGGTGACGACACGAGGCCTGCCGCGCTAAGGGGGTTCCAATACTACGTGACTTGTAAGGAGGGTATAAATATTATGGGGTCCCAAAATGTTCAGGGACACGTCATTGCGAGTCCTTAGAGACCCCATGATATTTGTTCCCTGGGGTAGAAAATCTATGGGGTCCTACGCGCTTCAATAATGGTCCTGTTCCTTTTTTGGGACCCCGTAATTTTTGTAACCCACTTTGTTTCTGTGCGTCGCGCAGGTGATGTCGGGCCTGGTGGTGACGCAGCTCGCCACGGAGCTGGCGCGCGGCTCCGGGGACGGCGGCGTGGCCGTCCTCCTGGGGCTGAGCCTGGACGAGCTGGACTCGCGCCAGCGGCAGTCCATGCACAGCGACCAGCACGACCACGGCCATGACCAGCTGCTGCTGGGCCTGGCGCACCCCAGCAACCGCGGCCGGCAGCCCTTCGATCACTACGGTTAGTCAAACGCAGACTCATTTTTACCAACACGACGAGATGAGTGCGGTTCTTGTAATTTCTGGTTTTGTATTTTTCCTACAGTGCGCGACGTCCTCGCCGCCTTCCTGGTGTACGCCGTCCTCTACATGGGCTCCAGCGCGCTCCTCGCCTACTCCAGCCTCGTGGTAAGGCTCTGGGGCTGTGCCCGAACAACGTGACATTAGAGGGGGCGGGTTCAAAAATAAGGACACAAACATCAGGACGACTATATTGGAGTCCACGGGGACACCGTGCCCGGGTTCAAATGTTGTTGAACACCATCGACTCCAATGACAGTCCTGGTCCTTGTTGAAACCTCGTGCTATTTGGACCTCCAACGCCTCTGAAGTCACGCGGTTTGGCCACAGCCCCTTTGCACATTCCCCGCTCTTGGATGCTGATTGCAGCGCATTATGTGCAACTGTGTTTGCCGCTGACTCGGCCGACTTTTGACTGACTCCCTCCCTCTCTCCAGGCGTCGCGGTGGGGCGCGCTGCCGTGGCTGCTGCTGCAGGCGCTGTCCATCGCCTCCCAGGTGGCGCGGCTCGTGGTGCAGGTGGCGCAGCACGAGGCCGCCGACCCCGGCCACCAGGGGCAGTACGCGCCCCCCATGGTCCCGCACCCCAACCACCCGGGCCACGAGACGTACGACGAGCACGTCCGCGAGCACATCCGGGAGCACGAGCTCCAGCACGAGCACTCTGCCCTCGCCGGCATCGCGGTGACGGCCGCCTACCTCGGTGAGTATCGCAAACTTCTCAAACTCTGTGTAGAGTATCTCATGAAAATTACAAACCCTTGCTGTATCGGAGCTAACCTTTCCGTCTCTGCCCCACAGCGGTCTGCGTCTACATGTGGATGTTAGTGCTGGTCGCGCACCGAGAGTGGACGTCCTCCACGAAGTACCCCCGCGGCCGCGGCCTCGGCGACGAGGGCTACAGCCTGTCCATGATCTCCATCCCCATCAAGGAGACCCTCACTGCCACCGCGGCCCCGTGCGAGGCTTGACCCGCGGTCCCCAATGCCGAGTCCCCATGGTGTGTCTGCTCAAATAACGCGTCTGTGATCTTTGTAATTTAAGCTAAAATGTACTTTTTAAGTCTATTCTTGTCGAACTTTTACTATGAATCAAATTTTATGTCTGTATTTGGCCATTGGCCACAATTTTGAACTGATTATGTATTTATACTGGAACGGGAGTGCATTTTATAATAAACGCATTTGATTTACAAAACAGTGATTGAAAGCCCCTATGTCATTGCGCCCATCTTTACGTCGCGTCGTCGCGCGACCTCGATGTTGCTAGTGATTCCGCGAACCGAAAGCGCAGCAATGTAGCAGTCGTAGTAGTATGTACATAACATCAGCTGCGACAAACGAGACGGGAAATCAATGTCCCAGCACAGCGCACGCATGACCCCTCCGGCCCCTTCCGCGGCTCTCCCTTTGACCGAGACTGATGGTGGCCATGATCGCTTGATCAGCATTCAGTCCTGGACCGCACCCTCCCCCATCCCTATTCCCCCCCCCCAAGTCGTCGTCGGGGACGTCGCCGCCGGCGCCACGCGCTGATCTGGCGAACGAAAGCGCGGAGGTCCACGACAAGAATGATGGTCGCGTCTGTCAGCGGCTATGCGGCGCGCCGCGGGCGACCGTGTCAAAGTGGCGTAACTGCGGCTGCGGCGCGCGCACATACGCCCTCCCCCCCTCGGCCGGGCCGGCGGTCCTCCCCCGGAGCCGCTGTATAGGAAGCCTTGGCGGCAAAGTGGTAGCGCCACGTCTGTTCGTCTGTTTTTCTCTCCCCCCCCCTTCTCTTTCTCTCTGCCGTTAAGGACAATTTTTTTTTCGGCCTCCTCTCTCCTCCTTTTATACTTCGCGTGGCGCTACTGGGGGCCCTGCGGCCTGGCGGCGTTTCTCTATCTTGTCGGATTTACGACGCCCAGCCCCTCGCCCCCGCCCCCCTCTACCCCCACGTACCCCACCCAGCTCTGCCCCATTTCCTCCCCCCGGGCCGCGCGGGCCACCCCTGGGGGAGGGAAGACACTTAGGTACAGCAGCAGGGGGAGGCTCGCGGCCGCGCTGACGCTAAGACTACAGCAGCCCCCCCCCCTCCATCTCACCCCCATCTAATGCTCTTGGCGGGAACAGAGAGATAAAAGCCGGAAAAGCTGCGGGAGCGTAGCCAATGGAAAGCGAGGATTTGTCTAGAAGGGGCTGCCGCGCGGGCGGGGCGGCGGCGGGGGGTGCAGAGGAGGAGGAGGAGGAGGAGGAGGAGGAGGAGGACGCCAAGAAGGACGACGACGAGGAGGTCGGCCATTTTCAGCAAGAAAAAGTAGCACGCCGGCGGCAGCGGTAGCAGCAGAGAGTACAGCAACCGCGGTGACCATAAAAATGTAAGGGGGTGGTTGGTGGGCTACGCCGCGCGAGGACGGCGCCGACTGCGCACTGCGCGGCGCCAGCCAGCCGCGGGTGGAGAGGAGGAGAGGAGGGGGGGGGGGTTGGAAACAAGGGGGTATCTTAGCCAGCGAGAGAAGGGTTCAGCAGCGGTATAAACTAAAACTGGACACTGGCGCGCGCCGCCGGGTGGGGTGAGGTAATCGCTTTTGCCAGTCCGCGGGCGCGAGGGTGTCTGTCGGGGTCTTGTGTACAATGTACACTGTACATCACGCGAGCAGAGCACCGCGGCGGTGGCGCAGCTGCGGACACCACCACCACCACCACCACCAACGCGGCGGCCTCCAGGGGTCCAGAGAGAACGGATAGTCTCTGCAGGCGTCATCGAGGTCGCCGATGTCGTCGCCGATGTCGTCGGGCAGCGGCGCGGAGGCGACGGTGCATCAGGAAGAGCACCCCGCGGGCCGCCGACACCACTTTGCCCACGCCTCTGCCTGGCGGCTCTGCCTCACTACAACAACACTAGGACTCGCGCGGGGCCCCGGCCCGGTGGCGGCGGGCTGCTCAGCCCCGCGCCATTACGTACACAATTGCATTTCATTTACCACAACAAACAAGCTGCTGCTGCTGCTGCTGCTGCTGCTCGCGGCGCTGCCTGCGGTCGCCCCCGCGCGCTCATAATGAGATCCCCCCGCCGCGGCGCCCAGCTCGACGACGACGACGACGTGAGAATATTCGCGAGCGGCGCGCTACAAGTCGAGCCCCGCCTGCTCGTCTGCTCGTTAGTTAGCCTGCGGTCAGGCAGGCTCCCTGGCGGGGAGCAGCACCATGGCAGCGAGGGGCGGCCGCGCACTCCTGCTCGTCCTGCTCCAGGGCCGCCGCCGCCGCCGCCGGCTGCTGCTGCAGCTGCTGCTGACTGGATTGAATACAACCGCCCTTGTTGCGCGAATGTAACCCGTCAAGCACCTGCATGACGTCGTCCCCCAGGGCTTGATCGACGCGTCGTCGTCGCCCGCAACAACGACGACCCCCATCGTCGTAGGCGTGCTCCCGCGGGCGCGCGCGCGACAGGGGAAGGAGGCCCTCTGCTGCTCGTCGCTATTCTTGGCAACCCCTATCGCTCACGTGCTCGCCCCGGACCAAAGTCGTGCGCGTTGTCGGCGCGAGCGACGGAGTCGGCAGTATGTGGGTCGTCCTGGAGGGGCGGCTCGCGCAGACATCGCGGGGCAAGCGACACCGTTGAGCCGAGCGGCTGATAGCGCCCCGCGGCCCGGGCACCACTCGCGGCCCACGGCCACCCCGCCGGAGAAAGTTCACTCATTTCTGCGTAATCAGTTTGTCCGCGAAAGAGATGGTCGTCGTCGCTGCGAATCACGTAACGGCCACGACGACGACGACGACGTCACGACGTGGATAACCAACGTCCAAACCTGCTCAGCTATGCGATAAAACTGGTGTGTTATCGTTTCGAAACGTAAAACGGCGTTTGTTGGTGCAACGCAAAACCGCGCGAAAGACATAGAGCTCGTCTGTGCTGCACTTGGGGTTGACGCCGCCACCCGACACCACCGTGCCGCGAGGACAATCAAACATCTCCCTCATCTTCATCATCGGGTTTGGGCGAAAAAACCGCAGCTCTGACCGCCAGTAAATGGCGATACACTCACTCTACCCGCCCCGCCCCCGGGAAGTGCCCGGCATTGTGGCTTTGGGTCTGCGAGGCGTTAGCGTCGCGTGGAGTCAGGAGAGAGGCGGGGGCTGCGTCCGAAACGCACTATACTTGGCCGCGGCTGATACTTTCTTGCTCCTCTCCTTCTTTTAATCCGCTTCCTCTACTCCTGCTGCACGAGAAGCGTGGGGCCAGCGAGTCGGACCCGCGATCCGCAAAGCTTGGCCGCGCTTCCTTTCGGACGCCACCATCCGGAGGGGGAGCTCGGGGCGGGCGGGGCGGGGCGGGGCGGGGTGACGCCCTTCTCACTCGCAAGATCCATTACTGACCACTAATAGCGTCACACAATTAGAAGGACGGGGCGGCGGCGGCGGCGGACCTAAACTTTCCTCTCCCCTCCTCACAGCGCGCTCCCCCTCCCTCTCTCTCTCTCGATTCGCCACTCTATCAAGGCGGGCGGCAGCAGAGAAATAAGACCGCAGGAGAAAAGCGGGAAAACTCCTTCCTGCCCCCCCCCCCTTTACCCCTCGCCCAAGCCTAGGGGTTGGAAGGACAACGGAACGACGGGACAGGAAGCGGTGGGCGTGGAGGCCCTCGGCTCTCGGCTCGGCCGGTCCTCGACCAACATTACTGGACGCTATAACTCTTTTTGCCACTTACTTACGATCTGCCGGAGAGTTAAGCCTGCTTCCAGATGGGGTAGGGGCACTCCTGGAGCTGCTCGGTCCTCCTGGAGCCTTGAGAGAGGTGGTCCAGGGGATCAGGGCGATTGCGAAGACGGCGGCGTTGGGTCACAATCTCGCTGGCGCACGGAGGCTTCAAACTGCGAGCAGGGTCCACGACGTCGTCTGATGGATAACAACGGCCTTAACCATGAAACGAAATAAATCAATAATTATTGAAGGCAACGACGAAGCAGCACACGCAAGCGTGTTGTTATGTTTAAATGATAGAACCATGATCAAAACGTGACAGCATGATACGCGAAGAGGGTTAACCGACCCCGACCTGCCCCAACCTTGAGTCCTACCCCAACCTAGCAAACGACCGTGTGTCATTAAGGTAAGTTTTACAAGCAAGCATATCACCCCGAATTCCTCAGCCCTTAGAGAAAAGTTTAACACTGAACTCGATCAAAATCAAAATCAACGTAGGTAGATAAAGGTTTGTCTGACAAGCTTCAACCTGTCCGGTTAAGCCCCCTAACCAACTTAACATAAAGCATGCATTAAGTTTCTTGTACCGTAGGTGCACAGCTTTAACAGTTTCATCATGTATCATGCAGTTCCTGACAACAAGGCATTGCAGTTTTACGTGTGCGCGTTCACTTACCCAAGAAATGAATCACCAATCACAAAGAAGGCTGCGGACACCACCACCACCACCACCTTCACTTACCCAAGAAATGAATCACCAATCACAAAGAAGTCAGAAGTGAGCAACAGTCAAACACAGTCCACCACCCTCGTCTTGAAACACACAACACAACACAACACTCCCACTCCCCCTCCTCCCCCCTCTGAATCGAAAACGGATGGATCGATATCTCGACTCGACCCGACGGCTCCCCTTCCCCTCCCCTCTCCTCCCCTCCCCGTTTGTTTTCGTCTGGTCGTGCTCGCGTGTTCGTAAACATTGCTGAATTTTCGCTATTTTATTCGCATGACACAGGGAATTACTGTTCTGAACCATGTCCGAGCTAGCTCTTAACATTGTCAGTGGTCCAGTTAAAACTTTCAAGCAAAAGAAGGTTAGTTGTACTGTTACTACAAGTCTAACCTAGCTTTGTCTCATGTGTTTCGTGCAAGTTGGTTATGAAGCCTGTAACATTTTATATTTACCCGAGCTAAACTGCGTTTTCATACTATTTTAAGTCTGGTTTTAAGTTCGTTGAAACACCCTTCCACTACTTTGTCCTAATATTATTTTGTAACATTATTTCCACTATTCACATTTGCGTGAAGACTTCTAGTTATCTTCGTCTTCTCCTTTTCAGAGAAAAAATCAAGATGAAGGAGATTTTAAGGCCAAAACCTCAAAGAAATTTAAAAGTATGGGTGGAAAGAATGTCCAAAAGAAACCTTTCAAAAGGAAAGATGATACAGAATCTGAAAATGAAGACACTGGACAAAATGCGAAATCAAACCAAGAGGCCGAAGTATCTCCCAGAAAGGATAGAACTCCTGGCCCTGCTTCATCGTTATTTAAATCAAATCCTGAAGTACCCTTTCTTGAACATAAAGATGTTAAGCCTGTCTCAGAACATGTGTTTTCCTCTGAATTAATTAAAGATATGCCAATTCACGCACATTCAGTAAGTATTCATAGGTAACTCTTGTTTACTGTTGTATATCTGTGAACAATGTTTTTACACACATGCCTGGTTTCCCTTCTGTAGATAGCAAATTTAGAAAAAAATTTAGGTATGTCAAAGGTGACTACTGTTCAAAAAATGTCGTTTCCTGTGATAATGAGTGGGAAAGATACCCTAGTTCGTTCTCAGACGGGAAGTGGTAAAACCATAGCATATGCTTTACCAATTGTAGAATCACTGCAAAGTATCAGACCTAAGCTACAACGATCACATGGTGTGCAGGCTGTGGTAATCGTTCCTACAAGAGAACTTGCTTTACAAACTTATGAATGCTTTGTAAAACTGGTTAAGGTGACTATGCATTTGAGCACTATTTATGAAATGTGAAGTTAATATTGTCTTATGGAAAATTAATAATGTTAACCTCTGTACTGTTTCTAATTCAGCCATTTACCTGGATTGTGCCAGGATATTTAGTAGGAGGAGAGAAAAAAAAATCTGAAAAGGCCAGGTTAAGAAAGGGAATATCTATTTTAATTGGTACACCAGGAAGATTGTTGGATCATATTCAGCACACTAAGAGTCTTCTTTTATACCAAGTGAGATGGTTGGTAATTGATGAAGCTGATCGTTTGCTTGACATGGGATATGAAAAGGATGTAGCCAGGTAATTTTCAGTATTATTCCAATCTTTACTCTAACAACTGTTTATGTTTTACTTAATTCTTACTGGAGATATTTAACAACTTATGTACTTTTTGTTCAAAACATTCAGTTTGGTCCGTGCCTTAAATGAGCAGCAGTTTGGCAATCCAGAGGGGGAAAAGGAGAGATTTCATCCTTTGGATGTGGATGCACCTGAAATAGATCCCAATGCTTCACCCTTTGTATGTAAGGTGAAAAGACAGACCATTATGCTCTCCGCCACCATGACTGCATCTGTTGATCGCTTAGCTGGCCTCACTCTAAAACATCCCAAGTTTGTTGATGCTGCAGTAATAGATGAAGATGATGATGAACATAATATTGCGATGATTGAGCAGGACCTAGTCATACCAGACAGTTTAACACAATGGTATCTCCTCATACCTGCTAAACTTAGATTAGTTACTCTTGCATCATTCATTGTTTGGAAGTGCCGTGTAAGTAGATTTAAAAAAAAATAAAAAATAATATTCATTGGATTTAAATTTATGAATAAAATTTAAAAATGTATATTTTTGGAAATTTTTAGATGACTGCTGAAAGGAAGATGCTCATTTTTATGGCAACACAGGATATGGTGGACTTTCATACAGAGATGCTTACAACTGTTCTTGGAACTCGTGAAAAGAAGACAGGTGGGGTTGATGAGGACTCTGATCTTGAAGATGAATATGGCCTACTGAAAAAGAAAGATGATGATGAAGAGGATGTTAAAGATCCAAGCTTAGTAGACATTGAATTTTTCAAGCTCCATGGTAATATGACTCAAAAGGAGAGAACCGATGTGTTCAAAACATTCAGAAGTGCCACATCTGGTGTTCTTTTGTGCACTGTAAGTTCTTTCTTCATTTCTTTTTACACTTCTTTTTGTACATTATTTTGGGTAATATACCCTGTTATAATTCTGTCCTCACTTTTTCATATACTTTTAAAAATTTCAGGATGTTGCATCTCGAGGTCTTGATTTGCCCATGGTGGACTGGATTGTTCAGTATACTGCACCTGCAACCGCTGCTGATTATGTACATAGGGTGGGTCGTACAGCTAGAGTTGGTGCCGAAGGTTCTTCTATGATCATGCTGTGTCCTTCTGAGTCAGGGTTTATCACTCAGCTGGAGGAGAGAAGAGTCAAGTAAGTAGTCTTTAAAATCTAGTTTTTCAATAGGACTTAAAAATAAATAAATAGCAAAATGACTGAATTAATTATTTTTAAACTTTCAACAGACTTTTTGAGGAAGGGATGGAGAGAACTTTACAACATCTGGTTCCCACTATGGCCACGTCCATCCCATCACTGCTAAAGGTAAGCCCGATACTACTGTCAAGTTTTTCCCCTCTACCTTTTTCCAACTTTTGTTGAATGACCCCAAAACTGTCGTTTTGTCGTTCTCAGATGCGCAACGGCGCCACCGAGCTGGCCGCCACGAAGCTGCAGCTGCGTTTCGAGGACGCCGTGTCCGGCCGCGAGGACCTCCACGCCATGGCCGCTAAAGGTGTGTGCACGCAGTGTGTGGGGGCGGCAGCCCCGTGGCAGCAGGCAGCCCAACCTGCTCGCTCGCGCGGCGCGGCTGGTGCGTGGCGGACCGCCCGGCAGGTAGGCCGCCGAGCCTGCAGCCGGTGCGTGGGGCGCGTGCGCCTGTGGGCGGGCAGCCCAACCGACACGCCCGCCCGAACTGTCCGTCTGCATGGGGCTGCGCCCGAACCACATTACTTTAGGGGGAGCGTTTTATGAGGTCCCAAAACGATCTCTGGGCCACCATTAGAGTTCACAAGGACTCCAAAATTGTGTTCCCCGGGGTACTGTGCACATATTTTTAGCAGATGATACCTTAAATAGCTTTAGACTAAACATAAAACATATATATATAAAACTTTAAGGTGTCAGCAGCTTGTACTCTCGAGAAGGGCAGAGAACCAAAGCGCATGACGTCACCCAGATGTATAAGGGGCGCGAGAAGTCGCCAGCCCCGCCCGCCGCCGCCCGTTCCCACCAACAATACCCAACAATACTGAGCCACGGATGCCGCCCGGCCTGCCTGCTGCCTGCTGCCCCCTATCCTATCTCTTCCTCTATGCCATGCCGCTAGTCCGTTGAATTGCAAGAAAGCAATTGCTAAAAGTGACAAACAGCCATAAACAAATAACAGCAAAATATGAGAGAAAATTAGGGCACAGACATATCCTTAAATTTGTATCATCTGCTTTCACGATACGTCTCGACGTAGCTTTTTTTGGGCGCCTATGAAATTCAATGGTGATCCTCAACCTGATGGGGGATTATAACGTTTGTACCCCCGCCCCCTCGCCAGGGTTCACAGTAGTGCACGACCCCTGATATCATTCTCGTGTTGTTGTTTGCAGCCTACGTCTCGTTCGTGCGCTTCTACGCGAGCTACCCGCACGAGACGCGCGGGGTGTTCAACTTCAAGGCCCTGCACCTGGGCCACTACGCCAAGTGCTTCGCGCTCCGCGACCCGCCCTCCAAGATCGGCGGCCTCGGCAAGAAGCAGTGGCTGGACCGGGGCAAGGGCGGCGGCGACGGCCGTCAGCCGGGACGCGGGCGCCAGCCGGGAGGAGGCCACGGAGGAGTCCAGGGCGGCGGCAGACCCGGCACCAAGCCGCTGCAGCAGCCGCGACCACGGGGGTGAGTGTTTCCATTCAAGATGAAGTTGCACGGGTTGTGGGTTGAGCTCGAAGCTCGTATGAAACGAGAAACGCACAATATTGGATTGAGAACAGAGTTGGACGCTCATCTCCACCACCTAGGCTCCCCCCGCGGCCGGCCGGCCGGCGGTCCGGCACGGCAGCTAGCAGGACGCGAGCGGAGCGGATAGATCGAGGGTGGAAAAAAAGTGAATTAGTCTTACAACGAGTTTTACGGCGCTTTTTGTTTTGTTTGGTTACTGCAACGGCCGGGCACAATGGGGG